GTGGTGGTGTTTCGTTGACCGCGGATATAATTGGCGGCCCCGACTGTTCCGCGCCGTAACTGTTCCCCGTCAAGAAGGTTCTTAAAACCGGATAGGGTGGGAGCAAATTAATGTGGCGTTTGACAGAGTAGCCGGTGGACATTCAGGCTTCGTACATCTGCACTTTTGTACGATCGTCGCCTCGACTCACGACCTCAGCGGCGTTAAAGTTGAGGATGTGCCCCATTTGCACGGCATGAGTTGCTACCGACGACTTTGGATCCAACTTTTGCACAGCCAACTGATGCTCGTGCATCCGCGTTTGTAGCCGTCGGTCGGTTTCCCAAATATACTTGCACATCGGGCAGCTGCACCAAAGTCGGTAGATAGTGGCCACTATTCCCTGTTTAAGGATAGGGTTTTGGTCACATCACTCGCGGGAGGATTGCTAAACCAGGCCTGTGAGCAGCCGAGTGGCGTGGGCCACGACTTCAGCGACCCCCTTCGTGTACAGAATGCTCCGCCATGGTTTTGGCCGGTTATTAACTTCATTCCGCTTCCCTTCCCAAGTGTTGGTGGGCAGCCGATAGGTTTGACATGAAACTGTGCCCACGCTAATACCGGCGGGTGGACACGCATTGCAGCACGCCGGTCGCCAAACTGAACGAGATGAAGCCCCTCCAAGGACTCTTCAGAGCCTATTCTTCTTTCGACAGGAGATAGCGCCTAGCATCACCGCGGCTTAGTTGCGTCGTCCAATCATTTCCCGCCTTTCTACCGCGAGTTTGAACCGGTCAGGCGAAATGAGCCGCCCCCGATCTACACACGTCGTGAGGTTGACCCTCTCTCAGCTGCGACCGCCAGCCCTGTCTTCACACGCCGGCTGGCTGGCATGGTGAGTCATCGGCTTGTGACGGGACTTCAGCGCGTGGCCAAAGCACGCGCGACGGTCACCGGGCCCTGACTCAAATCATGTTTACAGTCTGTGCGCCAACTTTGGGGCTGCCAGGGCCGCGCACAAACTGTCCTTAATTTTTTTCGTTTTTTGCGTCTAGAATGCATGCGTTAGTAATTCTTCTTTCAGCGTTAGTGACTAAAAAGGTGGTCACGAGGCCATGACGCAGAGGGGGGAGGAGGGCAAGCCTAAACAGTTTTAATGATGATAATAATAATACGGATGGAAAAAGCACATGAAGGGAAATGAGAGAAAAAAGCGGAAGAGATGGACGGATGGGGGACGAGGAGCAGGAGGAATAGACGCAAAAGAAGGCGAGTACTTCGGGAGAAAAACAGGAAGAAACCGGAGGAAGAGAAAAGATGCTGCCGCTCCCGCTACTTCTGCTGAAGAAGAGGAGGAATAAGAAGAAGACAAAGAATGATGATGATGATGATGATGATGATGATGATGATGATGATGATGATGATGATGATGATGATGATGATGATGATGATGATGATGATGATGATGATGATGATGATGATGATGATGATGATGATGATGATGATGATGATGATGATGATGATGATGATGATGAGCTATTTACTTGTCATTTGGCATTCTGAATATTAGAATTCGCCTTTTAGTTTCGGAAACTGGCAAGTTTGAGTCGCAACCCACACTATATACCGCTGCATCCACCAACGATCAGTCGACTGGTCATCTGAGTTTGACAGCCGAAAGAAAGCCAGAAGCAGGTGCTAATATATACTACGCTTCCGGTGGAGAATTGGCCACTGCCATCGCCTGACTATAACGGATGCTGTGAACTGGGAAGGCTGGTGTTTGTAAGTTGTCACCGTCTGCCGAGGTGTGATAGCGACAACTCGAGGTTTCCTCACTCAGAAGTCCTGGAAGACAGAATTACCGGCACAATCTTCTCTGAGTCTACAGAGTGTACACGCGAGCCGGCAACTGTTATCACCAGCCGTGTCAGCCGTTTAAGGTGCTTGTTCGGGCGCGAAATGTGTATCTGCGTCTGAACTCTGTGCGACCGCGACTAATCGATGAAGACAAAAGTATCCATCCGCGCGACGGTGTCGGCTGAGTCACACGCACGCCAGCAGTGATTTACAGACGTGCTATGGGAATCAGAGGCGGTAGGGGTAAGCGCCAGTGCCGACAACCGCGAGAGCAGACCGCCACAGGCCAACCACAACCCATTTCAAGCCTGACCTCATCGATGTAGCTGAAACACGGTTAGGCGAGAAGAAAAATGCTCAAAAGTCATACTGGATGGTTTTCAGTTTATTCAAATGGGCGGAAATGGAAGAAGACAAGATGGTATTGACTGGTCCTCTTCAAGGAGAAAATATGGCTGGGAGATCATTAGCTGTCTGGCACAATTGAACTATTCCGCTGGTGTGTAGCGGGCAGTCATCATAACCGGTCTGGCGTCGTTGTTCAAGACCTCGCTGCTTCAAGTTCATTCACTCTTTGCAGCGAGCCGTTCCAGGCGCGATGGCCTGAAGGCACTCTACCGACTTCAGCTCGAACACAATTGTCTCCTCACAGTGTCGGGGCTACCCATGCGCCACGTGAACGCGCCACCCTCTGTAACCAGCAAAACAAGCCACTGAGACACCACCCCTCGGCAAATGAAATACACACTGACTGAAAACCACTTGAGCTTGGCCCGCGAGCCTACAAAAGCGGCTGCCACCACTGTTCTAAGGACTCTCAGGCATGACTGGACGCAGTCAACACCAGTCCTGGCTTCGCCAGTGGCCACTGCCGCCGGAGAGGACAACTCCGGGTTCTGTGCACAATAAACCCCTCATTCTGCTGCTTTCCGTCTTCTCCCTACAACTCGGGATCTGACCCGACGATAATAGCGTACAGATGGGGGCATACTCACACCGCCTGGTCACAACAGGTGTACTCATTTTCGAAAAAAGGATGCTGTCATAGTAAAAATAGTCTATTACTTGGAGGCTTTAAGGCTCCAGGCAGGTGTTCGTATACGCCTCTTGGCCACAGTAGCCATTGCATTCTAATTGTGGAACACGGTCATTTTCATCTACAGACAAAGAAAGAAATGCATGGATGTAGGATTATTCCAAAAGTAAAGGACAGTTTATGGAAGTTGGTTGGAACCCCACATCCATATCTAACTGGTTGTCCCTGGAAAAGTAAGAGGTTCTGCACACTCAAGCGGAGATTAAATTGCCTCTCATTCTCAGCGGATGACATCCAAAAATTTAAAAATCTCAAGAGGAAAGTGGGACTTCCAGAAAAAATGCATCATATGTCCGCAACCTGGGCACTTGCCGGATTCAAAAAGGCAACGAAACAGACCTGGGAGGGAACTGGTAGTAGCCCTACTCCGAGAGCCTGCCGAATCTCTGCGCCTCTCGTGCCTGCCAATGGCAGTCTGGTTCTCGGCCAATCACAGCTATCCAAACCGGCCAATAAACTTCAAGACCGACGTAGACGTGTCCTCACTCAAGCCGCTCGGCGGCCTGTTCTTGCGGCGCCGGATATGCGCTCTCGTCCGGCTGCCAACTTGCTCCAGCCTGTTCACCATTCACTCTGTACAGAATACAACGTGCGCTCTCTCTCCTTCTCTCTACTGGCTTCCAACGTCCCCTCCTTCTATTCGGGGACGGGACCAGAAGGTCGTAGTGAATATCGTCTGCCCAGGACTTAAGTTGCCGCGACAGACGTCCAACCCCCACGCGAGGATAGTCACGAGATTGAAACCCCGCTTCCTGCATAATTCCTGCCCAGAGAAACAAATCAATGGATAACGCAGATGGGACGACCCTTTAATTTGGTTTCTCCCGTTCCTTCTGCAGCAGGGAGCTGCCACAGTTCCCTGGTGCCACCACTGGTGACACAACTAATGTAGTGGAGCAGCTGCAAACTGACAAAATCGTCCCGTCCGCAGGACGTCTCCGCAAGTTTTCCGAATGCACTCTCCAAATAACTGGTTTTCCCGCCTCCAAAGCTCTTCGGTCGGATCTTATTTCGTGGCCGCACCTGCAGTAGACAAGCACCATCTGCCAGTCACACGGGACCGGTGGCAGTAAGGGGGAGGGGGTTAACACTAACTCCTGGCCCTAACCCCAACCCCTAACACTAACCCCTAACCGTAATCTCTAACACTAACCCCCAACCTTAACCCCTAACCTCCAACAGGTGCGGCTACGAAATAGGATCTTAACAGACTTTCTAAACATCAGTGGAGGCTGGGGCCCTACGTAAGGATTGAAAGCCAATCAACCTAGGCCTCACATGTGAAGGGGGTGAATAGTAGCTTCATGTCCCTGCGTGCCACAGGTATTTGCTGTATACTGGCGGATAGAAAAGAGGGGAAAAAGTTCGCGCAGATCACGAAGAAATCAGCTTGTTGTGCACCAAAATGGTTTTGGAAGCGGACGATATTGTCTCACCGACCTGTAAGTATCCACATGAAATTGAACAAACACAACTAGGAAGAGGTGAATCAGTATATATGGTCAAAAAATCTCGACAGCGACGGTTGACAAAGTGTGACTGGGAACCTTCTCAATTGGTTAGCCAATTTTCTCATGTGATCTGTTCGGCGTGTGTATGCATTTGTGCTACCACGGTAGGCTGCGCAACCCCACCTCTCAACTGAATGTAGCCACCTTGTTATTGTTTATGAGAGGAACTATGCGCAAGTATTGTTATAGAAATAAATAAGTCAGGCGTACACGTTCGACAGCAGAAACCGTTCAGAGACATCGAGGACGCAGGGCGTTTGTGTTCTAACCGATCCAAATTGAACCAAAACACAGCCGGCGATCCTTGCAGCACCCATAGTAGGCTGAGTACCGACATGACACAAAAAGGTTTGACTACTCCTCTGGAAGAAATAATTAAGTCACGGTGTACAGAGTCAACAAAAAAGACAAAGGAATTACGGGGAGGGGGAGCGAGAACATCATGCTAAATAATTTATCTCTTAAAAGTGATACTAAAACAAGTCGGTGCATGCGGTTATATCAGAGTGTTAGAAAGCAAAAAAGAGGAAATTCCTGTAGTTATGGATTAGTAAACAAAACCTGGCCTTCTAGAACAAATATAGTAGTTATCTATACATGCTAAACCCAGTGTGGCTACACAACCTGTCCTTACCAAAGGCTGGACTGGGCAGCATTCTTAGTGTATGTGAACGACCATCTAAACGCTCTTGAATAAAGGAGTATAAGGCTCACTGGTAATATGAAGATTTGCAAATAAGTGGAACCAACTGAGGACGCTTTAAGGGTCATGAAATGACTTGAGTCGATTGCACAATTTGTGCGCTGAACGACTCTTAAACTTCAATCTCAGTCAGTGACAGGTCGTCCGTCTCTGATCTAGCAGCTACATCGGAAATAAAAAAGGTAAACCAGTTTACCAGCAAAGGTATTTAGGTGTTTGGATAACAACCATTTTCAAACCATCCGGCCCCCATCCCAATTGTGTTAAAGAACCAAAGTAGGTAATGGGTGTCCTGAGCGTGACCAGGAAATTTTTTGTCAGTTTAGACGGCCAAAGTTTGAGACGCCTGCTTGGAAAATTTTTTGAATCAATCTCAAAATACTGCATATACCTGTAGCTCCAGTGGATAGAACATGATTACACTCCGTCAGGGAATGACCTAATTAATTAGTGCATTGAGACCTCTACCTGGTGAGAACCATCCAGAAAGACCCGTCACTTTTCCTTCCTTTTCAGATGAAACAAAGGATTTCTGACCATGTTCTTTAAAGTATCCATCGGATAGACTGTGCTCTTCAGGTCGGCGGCCTTTTAGTTTGACGAAAACGATCAATCCTCATGGTCTCTAATAGAAACTGAAAGTAGAACATGTTAACCTCGACGCGTGAGCCAGCTTTTTATCTCACCGAATATCTAAAGATTGGAACAAAGTGTCCTACTTGGTCGCCTTGGGGGAAAAATGTTAGACCTTTAAACGTATATCTGATAGAGGCAGAATGGTATTACCAACAAAGACAAGGGAGACTGGAATGGTCATTTCTGGCTTACTAACCGTCGTCAGCCAGTCATACCCAAACCCGAGTGTGAAACACCTGGAGCTCGATCCTGCGGCCTGTTAGTTAGAAGTCCAACGCCTCTATCTGATGTGTTTTTAGGTGATGGCCATATATTCTCATCACACTAACTCCTGACAAAAAGAGCTCTTCATGAAATGTAAGTGTGTGCCCTATGTCGTATCGGTTTATCCCTTAGAATGGTTTACTAAGGTCCTGAATCGAATGAAATTAAAATCAAGACACGTCTAAAGATGACTACGCATTACTGTTTATGCGAGCGGTGGGTAACACGTGAAATGAATGAATTCTTGTCAGGAGTCTAGGCCTGAATGCACCCATGTCTTGTTTTTTTGCCATTGTGAAAAGCAAAAAGCAATCAGAACTCGCTTCGAGTGCAGACGCAAAAACCGACGAAAATCCTGTTTAAGCCCAGGTCTGTGTTCCCTCGGTTTTCGTCCGGTCTGATATGAGTAGTCGAAAGGGTAGGATAAATAATACACGATAATAAAATTGCCCACCGGGAGTCAATTTACCCTTGATACTCGTAACACAACTGCCTACGATAGTTTTGGGCGGTTGCGCGACCTGGACACCCAGTCCTCCAACAATACGTTCAACAGCTTTTGCAGAAGTCTTGGTATACGGTGTCATGGGCTTTAAGTGCACCTGTTCAACCGTGTCTTTTAGTACAGCCCACGCACCCTGGATGGCTGCGTCGCGTTCGACTCGCACTCCCCCCCCCTCTCCCCAGAGTAGCGTTGGTCAATAATTTGTCCTTCTCTGGTTGGCTGCAGACGGGAATAGCTCGGGCGTTAACTCACGTTGTCAAGACAGGTGGCTGCCAGCTCGGAGAAGCAGTTGCGGCCACCCGCCCCTGGGTTGTTTGTACACACCCTTCCATAGTGAAATTCGTCCTCCCTCATTTGGGAAAGTCGTTACTGTGAGCCTATAACACTCCAGACTAAAGATATCGTGTTTTCTAGGCCTTCAAGTAGCCGTTCCACACAAAGTGATCGTGGACAGATCGGTGTGGCTTCGGGCGTGATGCAGATGGTTAGTATTTGTCTGTTGACCGGTTGCACAGATCTTCGGTAGTTAGCCGCTGGAGGGTTGCTGCGAAAGTCTAGGATCTGTGTGATACTGATTGTCTTCCCGTAGTCCGTTGTCCCAAGTTTTCAATGCGTTGCTCCTCTAACAGGCCCATCAGGGGGGGGGGGAAGTGTGTGAGTCTTGTCTTCTTCCGTTGCGAACTTTTTATGGAGACGGCTAGGTGATGGTAGCACTTCAGTATGTTGTTTCTGGCAAGTTTGTAATTAAGGTAATTACACCAAAATACAGGATCATGTTGGTCGAAAGCGGTTTTTCAGGACTTCTGTGTCATCTCTTCTCTGTTGATCACTGATCGGCTTAGCCTCTTCTTGTCGCTATGGGTTGGTTGGTTGGTTGGTTCGCACGTTCGTGAGAGTTAATCAGTGTCGGGTAGCACTGCGTCTGTTTGGTCGGAAATGGTCGAGTGCGGTCCTTGAAGCAGAGGTGGAAACACCAGCCACGTCGGCTATATAAAAGTCTTACGCACTGTGCGAATTCAACGACTCAAGTCGTTTTAATGTACCTTGCGATGACAACCAAAGTATGTGTCGTAAGACCGGGAATAAGACCGGTTTGCCGTGTTTCCCCAGATCTTAAAATATTCTAGTTCTTATAGGGTATGACATTCAAAGCTGGGGAGTACAGTAGGTGGGCTAACTCATGAAATGTCAGCCGAAATTTCGAAATTCGTCCCCGTTTCGAAAAGCTTAATTAAGTAAATTTGTAAAACTAATCATCATGCACCATAATTCTATAATAATTCAGTTACCTCAGGGTGCCGGCTTCCGAATGAACTTCTTTTCGACAGCATGCACGAACTATGCTCTGCAAAAAATGGCTACTTAAGTAGCGTGCAAGTTTTCGTTGATTTTCGATTCCCTTAAAAATTCAATTACATTTCATGGAAAACATGCATAGAAGCATTCATTCTTTCACTCTTTGGGTATACAATTAAGTCCTCTTTCAATTTTATACTCAAAGGAAGGGTATAATCTGGTTTTCAAAAACTTTCCCGATTCCCGAATAATTTTGAACCCGACCTGCCGTTGCAATTGCATTCGGGGTTTTCAAAATACAGGCCGTATATTTTATGCGTATGGAAAACCATACATTTCTCTGCGGTATTAAGAGAAGACCATGTGGGTCTCATAACATTTAGCCATATTGTTAACTTTACAGGCGATATTAATAAATGCACAGACATGACATTTTAGGAATGGCCATTTCACGGTATTAAAAAATCGCACAATTAAAAACTTTTTAAAACCGAGTTATACCCTTCCTTTGAGTATCATATTGGAAAAAGACGTCATTTTCTACCTAATGAGCAAAATAATGAATATTTTATGCATGTTTTCCATGAAATATAATTGAATTTTTAAGGACATCGAAAATCAAGGAGAAAATTGCATGCTACATAAGTAGTCCCTTTTTACAGAGTATACTTTTTGCATACAGCTGGAAAGAAGTTATTTCGAAAGCCGGCATCCTGTGGTAACTGAATTATTATCGAATTATGCTGCATGATGATTAGTTTTACAACCCTACTTAA